GATACGAGATATGATTACTCCCTCCAGACCTGAAAAGGAATGTGAAAATTGAGTTGAATTACGTAGCCTCTCATGAGCCTTAAACAACTCTTTTATGAAACATATATGCGACAATAAGTCCAAGGAAGGGAGTGATATTCCAGAGTTTAATAACGTAAAATGGAACATAAATCTAATCTTCATAACCATATATGTGTATATATATAAACCCAAGTTTACGTTAAATCCGACAAAGTTGCGAACACTATACAACTAGAGGAGACTGCGACTAATCAGAAGGCCACACCATCTTGGTCTTCATATGTCGACTCTAACTACCTTAAATCGTTAGACTAAGGAGTGTAATTAATGCACTTTAGCTTTCTTAGCCTCTACCGTCTCAGTAAAGCCAAATTTCACAGGGGTTCGCTAACCAGACAGTCTCAATAAAAATGATGTATTATAATAGAGCTTTTGTGTATACTGTGTTCCCTTGTTGCTTATACAATCCGGAGTTGATAATACTTAGGACAAAAATTACTCGTTGGTTATTTCGCAAAGACATCCGTGTGTTTTTTGCTCTAATGGAATCAAAACTTGAGAAAACCATAGATATATAAAGAAAAAGGATAAGAGTTGTTTCGAAATCTACTCAAAAAGAATAAGGATAGCTCAAGTAACTAAGAGAAACCCAGATATGACAACTTTTCCATTTCATAATGCTTTGCAGAATTATAGAAATGACTTAAAATACATCATTATTATAGCTGACGTTCCAGATATTATAACAAGAGTAAGCAATATACATGGATGAGTCCTTCATACCACTTACAGTAAGTCAAAGAGCCGTCCAAGTGACGTCATGCAATCCGTAGGCCAGCAAGGTGGCAGGCAAATTGTCGGTGAGCGCACTCAATTCAGCGAGATACTGGGCTGCTATATGTTCTGCTTCCTCAACTTTCACTTGTTCTGTCCGTGCCTCAGGCATATCAGAAGAAGATAACAATGGTGGAGAAGGCTGGTTACTGGAATTTGACGTTTGTAAGGAAGGTGATACGGAGGATATAGGAGGCGGCAAAGGCATTTGAGTGAATACAACCAAAGTATAAGGGTCACA